CCTACTTCGGTCATGTACTGCACTTGAACTTAACCACAGGGCTTCACATTCAATTACTGGCTTCTTATTGGGTTACAGAGGCTAAAATCTTTTAATTTTGTCTCCAGCCGGACTTGAACCATTGACCTTGACTGTGGAGGCATGGGAGCTTAACCGCTAAGCTATAGGACCTACACTCTAATAATTATATTAATAAAATATATAAATATTAATATAAATTAATTAATATTAAATTAAATTAACTTACTATTAAGCATTTAAAACAATAAATTTTATTGTAATTTTAATTAATAAAACATTTTTAGAATTTACAAAAATGTTTATCAATTCTTTTACTGATTTTGAAATGTCATTATGTGTAATTTCCTTATTAAAAAATTAAATAAAATATAGAAAAAAACTTTTAGCCAAAAAATAAATTTAAACCAATCATTCCAACATGGCTTAATAAATAAAAGGGATAATTGTAGATTAATTTCTTCTGAATTTTCTAAAAAATTCAATTTTAAATTTAAGAAAGAAACAGAATTTTCAGAAAGAAGTTGTAACCATCTTTTTTTGTGGATAACAAAATGTAAAAACATATCATTAATATATGATGCTACTTGTGTTAAAAGCTTAAAATCATCAAAATAAATCTAACAATCCTCAACTAAACTTAAGATATGTATGAAACAGCAATTATGTTTGAAATGAAATATTATATTAACTAAAGTATCAGTATATGTTTTTTTCATATAAGCAGCATTATTACTGATAAAAAGAATAATATTTTAATATAAAATATTATAAAAACTTATTGTAGATAAAATTAATTGAGAAATCATTAAATTATTAACAATAATTAAGTATTCAGTTTTTACTAATTTTTTGTTTGAACTTGATAACTAAACAAAATATTAATGATATTATATCCACAACCATCAGTTGTTTCATCAACCATAATTGAAATATATTGATCTTCAAAAATTTTTTTTAATTTGTCAATTTTATTTTGAAAAATCTGTGACAAATAACATTCATGTAATTGATTTGCACCAATGATTCCTCCACCTATTAATTTAATTAATTTAAAGTATGTTGATATATTTAACTAAATTAATATTTAATTTGTTTACCTTCAATACAATAGTCTTATAAAAATTTTCATAATTTATTTATTTTTTCTAATGGAATATCAGCTTCAATGAAAGCCTTAACTAATGCTAAATTAATGTCTTGTTTCTTTGCAGAACTTGTATTATTAGGTAAGATTTTGATAAGACTTTTTTTTTTTTTATATGACGGCGAATTAAGATGAGTATCAATTATAGACTTTTTAGCATGATTAATGACATGTTTGCAAGCGATGCAATACATTTTGTCATTTAATTCATAGAAATCATCTCCATAATTATTTGAATTAACACGTTCAAGAGCTGTAATCTTTGCTTTTCCCATCATCAAAAAGATAGACAAGAGTTTAAACGTTATAACTTCTTTTAAATACTTACACTAATATAAACAATTACAATTAACGAACAAAAGCAACGGGTAATGAATCTAATTATTAGGAAAAGTTACTACGCCACATCGCGTTTGTTTAATTATTACATATCGGATTTAGATCAAAAAAAGCACATATAATGTGCGTTAACTTTTATTATGCTGATATTGGTTATTATCGTCATTTGCACGAATATCGCACTAGCTACATCAAGAAAGATAATTTTGTTGTACATTTTATGTGCCTAAAATGTAATCGCATGAGACTGGACACTCTAATTTCTGATAATGGAAGTATTCTCAAGTTTCTAAGAAAAAAGTTTCGAGATCTTACTTGGCAAACTAAATTAAACTTTGATATTTCTGACGATTTATGGAAGATTCATAATGCAGAATATATTCTCGCAGTGATAATATTTTGTAAAATAAAGGCATTGGTAAAAATATATAATCTTACATCTCAGATCTGGGATTGTCTAGAAAGTATACCGAAAATGTTGCATTTATGGCATCATGTCTTATGTCGCTTCTGAGGTTTTATCGGGTCGAAAATTTACAAAAAAAAAGCTGCCGATATTTATGGCTTTGATGTCATTAAGTCGGAGATGTCAGCTGGAAAAGACCTGAACTTTCCCCTGAGTTGCTATATTGAATTGCTAATGGAATTATTGTATAAAAGATTCAAATGATGCGAATGAAATTAAACAAAATAATTTCTGAAAGCAGATAAAGTACGTAGCGAAAGTATTGTCTATTGTCTTACCAAAACTCCCGACTTTATGTACACTTGCAAAATTATTAACACGCAAAGAATATCAGATGCAATTAAAGGTATTTTATAAAATTATACAATATACTTATTTGATTAAACTAATTATGCTATATTATCAGCTTTACAAAATCAATCTATGGCTTCTGTTGAAATTCCTAAGTATCATTAAACTGCTGTATTGGCACTTGGATTAATTAACGATATAAATTTATTTTGTTAATATATAATTTTGAATTTCAATGAAAAATTCAATATTTACCTAAATGCTATTAAATAAAATACTTTATATTTATGATGATTATGACAAACTGCCTGCGCCACTAGTCGGAGTATCATATCGGAAACTGAAATTTTGAAATTATGTGGCAGGGACATGTGGATTTGGCACTTATTGTGTTTTTAAGGGATATCCATTTAAAAAGTTTATATGTAGGTATTCCTTAAGATCGCAGCAAATCACAAAATCCACAAATGCCTGTTATGTTGCCTGTGAACATGTCATCACCTGTATGACAGGGAAATAGTTTTAGGACTCAGTTTCTGGAGCGTTGTTAATAATTATAACTTATTTGTTGCATCTTTTATTCCTTTATCGATTTTAATCCTAGCGTAGGTAAGTTTACATTAACTTATTAGAGCCAAATTAAATAAATACAATAATTTATCAAGGAACCATATTCACCGAGAAGCTCTGTGGATATCAATTATTTGTGAGGTATTGTTAAAATGTTTACTTGGAACGTAGATTGATTGCCAGAGATGATAAAGGATGATGTAAATGTGCTACTGTATTTATCATATCTCACACCTTAACTTGAAAAAGACTATACTATTACTCATCCAAACCCTTAAAAAAGAAATTTAACAAGGCTAAGTACTAAATTCTATTCTAAGTTGGTCCTTCATAATTATTATCGCCGTATTTTGACGATATAACGCCTACCTGAGCGTCATTTGAAATAAGGATCAATTCTGAACCCGTGGACGCAGTATTGACGTTATGTTAGGGATTCTGCCTTTAAAGAAACGATTTTCAAAATAACGCCAATGAGTCAATGTTAGAATACGAAATTAGGTATGTAATTCTTAGAATTGAATAGTACAGTAGCATAGAGATAAAATGTTCCCGGTTTAAATGTTAAAACCGATTTTTGCATCTATTGTGGATTACTATTTCGACATCATAATAATTATACTAAGCACAAACACCTTTTATTCTATCCTTTCCATCTTAGATTAAAAATGAATCTACAAACTCTATTCCGTAGTGTTAAACTCTAAATTTGAATAGAGGCATCAATTAATAAAAAGAGGAATATAACTTATTACTATAAAACAAAATAAGGAAACAGCTCATAAATTGAAACACCAAATTGATTAATAATAATAACAAATATACGCTAGTAATCTGTTGCGCAAATACGTAGGTGCATTCACTTTTAATGTTTAACGTTAACGCCAATTAACCTTGTTATATTTATTGTTACGTAATATACATTTTAGAATACGTAGCTATTAAAATTTTATTAAACATATAGTAATGATAAACAGTTGTTAATTTATTTTAATTTGAATGAGTAGAAACCGACTGTAGTGGATAACTAATGTGGATTTTACATACTGTATCGATAATGATTGTTTTAAAAAAGTAATATAAATAGCAATAAAACTCTACTGTATTTTCTGTGCATACATACGTGAGTACGCTTAAATTGTGCCACTAAAAATATTTTATTCCTAATTTCGTTATTACTAATTTTATTTGGCATTGTTCAAGTTCATACAGACAGTCAAACTTTAACCTTTTTTATGACGAAATATTTTTATTATATGGTTAGCGCCTATAACGTGATACTTATCATAATTCAATGATTGTCTTAATATAGCATGATAATCCAACTTCCAGATTTTTATTTTATCGAAAAATCCGGTTTAAAGCTATAAATTGCTAGACTTACCAAGCTATCATCGGTATTTTAGTAGCAGTAAATGCTATTTGGCTAGTATTAGTCATTAATGAATTTTGGAAAGTTAAAAGACCCTTCTTGCTATTCTCACATAATCTTCGGCTTTTAACATATGAATGATGTAATTGTCTAACATTAATAATGAGCTTTTAGGAGTTTAAGATCTTCGCCCAAATATGTGGCCGGAAAAGGTTAAGTGCCGCAGTGCAATGGGATAATCTCGTATTTAAGGAATTGCCGTCAGCAGATTAGTGCCTTTGACGTATTATTTCTTTTTCTTTCCTATATTTTCTTCGCAAATATGCCGTACGGACAACTTGAAGTTACTGTCGGTAAAAAGAAGATTCATTTATTACTATATTGTAAATTTGTCGATTTGATCATTAAAACCTGGATTTATTAAAATTTACTTCTTTTTTCAAAATGAAGTCGAAGCAAAAAAACTTGACGCCGATCTCCTTCGTCAGTATTTTAAATATATATTCTTTATTTAAACATAATATAAATAAAGTATCGATTTGCTTATGCATTAGGTATTTAATTTCCAGACAAAGTGAATCCATATGTTACTCTATCCTTGGACAAGGCGAATGTAAAGAAAACACATACCCTCCAGAATTCTGGTTCGGATGCTACTTGGGACAAACTTATTCATTTGTATGCACGTTAAAATTTTGATTTTTGAGCATCAGTTACGTCACATTTCTCGTGACTTTGATATTAATATGGTTATAACTTTAGTGATATTGTTGAAGGGCGTTACGAACTTTACTTACAAGTCTTTAATGAAAGTGCTGAAAATGATATCTTAGGCATGACAATCATTATCTATATCTCTGTTTTGTTTCATTACTTATGTCAATTTGGTTTTCCTTATACCCTTTCATCATTTTGTAAATTCGGTTTAACAAGGGGAAGCAACGATTCCTCTGGAAGCCGTTTTTCAAACAGGCTCTGCTGATCAATGGATTCATATTGCAAGACCAAGCGGTAAAGGCGCTGGCGAAATACGGTTATTACTGAAATTCAGTAAACAGGTAATAATTTGTTTCTTTTATTCCTTTATTAGATTATTATTTTAAATAAAAGTTTTTTTCTTAGGGTCCTACTTCTGGTCCTGCTGGTTCAACGTGAGCTTTGTCTTTCTTTACTTTACCGTTTGCTATTTTTTTGTTTTCAACCACTAAGAATCTTTTTAATCCTTCTTTGTAGACCATATCCATTGCCAGAACATAACAATAGTTATTTTTCACGCCCACAATTTGACTCAGATTATCCACGAACTCCATCTTACAGGGATGGCAATGTTTATAACAGCCTTAGCCCGGTTCTCGGCGCTACGCCGGCAGGATATGGTTCTGGTGATCCTCCACAAATTACGTTGCCTAATGTACTACGCAATACTAATATTCCTCCTCTTCAGCATCCAAAATTTGATATACCACCGACCGGTTACCCTCAATATCATTCTGAAGGTATGCCACCACCACCACCACCACAGACACCAGAAGAAAGAGATAAAAAAGATTTCGTGGTATGTAATCTCAATATATAAAATAGTTAATAAAATTATTATAATCTTACAAATGGCTACAATTTAATAGTATTTTTGAAGAAAATAATTTGAAATTTTGGTTTACTTAAGAATGTAATCCCACACCTGGTGTGCAGCACATAAAAAAATCATTTCACAATGATGGGTCTCTTAACCACCAATGTTAAAAATATAATTCCTCACAGTTTGGATCGGGTACATTTCCTCCTGTTACTAAGATCCCAGTTCAACCAACTTGTAAATGTTATCTTTTTTTAAGAAAATATATATAATAAAAATAAAAATTAAAAAAATTAATTAAAATAAATTCATTCATTAAAAATTGCTACTGACTACTATAAAACATTCACGGTGAGTCACGTTTGATTTGTACATACAAATAGGCAGTTATTGCTTAACTTACTCAAATTTGGATGATTAAAATTTCTCTGTCATTTAATCTAGGAGGCTAATACATTACTATTGTCTGTTTACCGCATCAATTTCACTCCATTAGTTATTATATAACTCTCTCAAGCAATAATCTTCATAAGTGCTCTTTTCTCTTTGAAATATTTCAAGTTTAGCTTCGTAATAATATATTGTATTTGGAGTACTTATTATCAAGTGTTATGGTTAGACCTTATAAACATCTATTAGTGTTACGAATAGTAGTGGTGTATGGTTTAGTAAAGTAGTGGAGTATGCTACAAAAATCGCACTCGAGCATATAAAATTAGCATACTATACTCATAATATATATATTATTTATATAATAGTATAGTTGTAAAGAATTTAATTATTATATGTGATCTCACGAAAATTCTACAGAAATTTATTTATATATATGAGACAGTACCAAAAAGAATTTAGAACTGAAATCATTATTTTTACGGCTGCTTTCACAAAATTGAGATTTTTACGAGATCGCCTAAACAAAAATCAAGACCGTGTTAACAAAAATCAAAGATTTTCATAAAGGTCGCAGCAATTACCGTCAATCGAGGACTCAGTCACATTCCCGACCTTACGATTTTCCTGAATTCAAAAAAAAATTTTATTAATCCATACATATATATATTTTTTAGAAGAAAAGCTTTCTTAGTTGTTTCCTAAGAGACAAACGGGTACTGAAAAATTACAAAAAATTGCAATTTTTACCTTTACTATAAATTTCGTGATAATGTAAAATTTTAAGAAACTGAAAAAAACTGATTATATTCAAATACAGAATTACATTGCCATTAATTGTAACTGTATCTGAATGATTCATTAAATTTGTATAACCTGTTTCTTTGTTTTTTGATTATCAGCTGTGACCCGAAAGAACGTAAATTACATTGATATTGGCCATCATTTGAAGGTATTAGTCGTCTCATTAAGAATGATATACCAATTTGATACGTTTGAATTAAAATGTAATTACGCAAAAATTTACATATCAACTTGCAATTAAACAAATATGTTTAAAATTTGAACATTTGTAGAATATATTTATAAAAAAAAACAGATTACTTTTTTGATTACATATTGTTTAGAAAATCTTATAGATAATTTTTTTAAAAATTTAAATAATTGAAATTTTTTAATATATTTATAAATTAATCAAATATTTTTTGTATTACTATACAAGTACCTTGGTGTAATCTTGTTATATAAACCTACAAACTCTCAACTATGTTTATTATATAGAAAAAAAGTTATAGTAAAAAAATTACCTATTAAATTTTTTTTTTAAATATTAAGATAAGGTTATGTTTCTATCTTTATTAAACTTAGTTAAATTTTTTACAAATAAATATATAGAAGAAGTTTATATTTGAATTTTATATCTACTAAATATTAAGATTATAAGCTCAAACAAGTTATCTTTAACCTAAACTTATCAAAGTAATTAAGGTTCATCAAGATTTCAAAGTTTGTAATTATAATAAAAGAGTTCATTTGATATTTGTTTTATTTGAAATATCAAATTTTGATTTTTGAACAAGTGATTGAATAAAATGTATGTTGATTTAATGAGTTTTGAAAAGTGTATAGTATTGAAAAAAGTTGAGACTGTTTACTAAATTAAGACTTAGAAGTCAATATGGTATTCAAATTTGAGTATAGATTTGTTGATTAAAGATAGAATGAATGTAGATCATTTCTTTTATAAGTATATTAGCTAAAAAAATTTTACACAAAAACTAGACATGTGTTACATATAAAAGTTTTTCAAAATATAACCATATCTTATAAAAATTTGAGAATATATACATTAAGCTCTTCTAATTATAGTAATACAATTTTGAACTTCTGTTTTATTTAAAAAAAATACTTTAATATATCATTAATTCTTCTCAGAATAACTAAAATTTTTTTAGATTACACAAATAAGAAAATCAGTCTATTCAATTTCTAGAACAATGAGAATGCAAATTGTAATTGGCCAAATGAGTGTATAAATTAAAATGCATTATAGATAATAGATAAAAAGTATAATTTGATAGCTAAACATTTCAAAATTCTAAACTACAAGAACCATCAGGTCAATTAAAATTGAGAAAGTATTTTTTTTTTTAACGTCTTACTTTCTTAACCAAGCTGATTAAACCAAGCTACAATAGATTAAACATTTTCTTACAAATACTTATACAGAAAAACCTCCTTAAGTACACTCTTCTAAAAGCATAATCTCTCTAAATACATATTTAAATTCTAACCTAGATGTATACTTAACTTCTATTTAAATGCATGTTACTAAAAGTTGGTCCTTACAGAGTACACTTAGGAGTTTCTTTGTACTAAGATTTTTTTTTCTTCTACTGATTTAAATTAATGATGCAGACCAAGAAGTTATGCTTTGTTTTTTCTCTAATTTGAGTTAATTATGCTGAAAATTTATAGTTGTAATAGCATTTTATTATATATTACTACAGTCAACTCTTTTTAAGTGCAATTCATTAAGGTTAAACTTTTAGTAGCATGCATTTAGAAAACAATTAACAATTACATTTATATACTAAACATATACTTGGGTTAGAATTCAAAATTGCATTTAGAAAGAAGTTGCATTTAGAGAAGTTGTACTTAGAGTTGACTACTATATTTTTTTCCCTAATTCATAGTATTTTGTAAAATTCTGCTAATGTTTTCCTTTTCTCTTATTCATACTAAGTTTATTAGATGCATTCTGACAAAATCTTGATTTAAGTCAAATTGCTAAAGATTTAAATTAGGATGATACTTTTATTATAGTAGTTTTTGAAATAGTTAAAATGGATAAAAAAAATTTTTTTTTGTATACTGCATATACTATTATACTGGATTATCTTAGCACATTAATTAAATATCGATGCTTGATTTACTTATTGTTTCAAACAATAAGTGTCTATATATGTGTCAAACATTAATCTTCAGTTAATATGCTAAGGTAATTCAGTATACAAGTATATGCAGTATACAAGTATACTAGAAAAAAATTTTTTTTTACTCATTTCTACTATTTTAAAAACAGCAATAAATATTTGGCTACTATTTATCAGTTATATTATAGGTTCAAGTCAGAATAATATTTTGAAGCATATGTATTATTTTTTCTTTAAGTAGTGTTACAATTAGTAAAAAATCTCTAGTTGATTAATTGATTATGTTCAATAAATCTCTTGCAATATAGGTGTTGCTTATTTTGAATCAACTGATGAATAATATATTTTATTAATATTGTCATTTATATCACAAGAGTCCTGTTCAACTATCAAATAATGTTGACTAAAATACCTAGAGTACTTTACAAGTTATCTGCATATAGGTATTATAGACAGAAGAATACTACAATTAGTATAGGAGATATAAATTGCACTATATAAGTATTACTGAAGAAAAACCTGGCATTAAATTTTAAATTATAACTATTAATTTAATATACATAGTAACTATGATATCTTTGGCCAAAAATAATTAATAATTTAAACTATTGACTTTTGTATGCCTTAAAAAAATAGAATTATTATTTTCAAAAAACTATTATAAAAGTAAAATTAAAGTAAATAAGAAAAAATTAATTAATTTAATAGATTTTTATTTATTTTTTATTTAAATTTTTAATAAATAATAATAATAATGATAATGATCATTATTATAATCATTATAATAAAAACATTATTGCTACTACTATAAATAATTATCAACATTTTCAGTAAGTAGGTTCAAATAAAAAACTTAATATTCTATATAAAAAAAATATATAAGAAAAAGTAAAAAGCTTATTGCATATATAGACTTTTTATAATTTTCAAAGACTTATAATAACTTTTTGCAATTGAAGGTTTTCACTCTATAGAACAAATAATTATGAGTTATTCATATTGAGAACTTATTCCAAACACTTATTTGATTTAAAACAAATTTTAATCTTGTACCAAGCTAATAACATAAATTTTGATTTTAAGTTTATAATGTGAGGCTTCTAACAAAGTACTCTAGATTTAAGAGATAGTCTTATTTACAATATTAAAATACAGATTGTAAAACAAATCATAATAAGCTAAGAAAAATGTAATTAACCAATATCTTAATTGACATTGAAATATACACTTGTATAGGCCATATTTGTATTTATTAATTATATGTTACTAAATACAATACAATAAATAGAATTAGCATATTACATTTTAACATTTTTATTAATAGTCACCTTACTGACACCTAATAATAATAATAATAATTAATGAAATATTTCAAACTAAAAAATCATCCAATTCATGGCACTATCAACTATTGAAACAAACTACTAGTAACATTTGATCTGGTAATTAATTTGTTATATTATTTTTAATTTTCTGTAATGAATTTAGTAATCATTTTTATATTAATTTTATTTTATATTTAGTTAGTTAATTATTGTGAAGTGTTGTTGCACATAAGAAAATCTTGATTAACAGATTCATGCTATTTCCTTTTTAGACTAATTGTCATTATTCCCAATAATGATATATGGAGAAAATAATTTATACCTTGAATATAGATATATGAAAAAGAAAATTTTTTTAATAAAGTAAAGGGCTTTGTATAATTGAAAAGTAGTTTTTCTAAAAACATAAAAGAGAAATTAATTCACTTTTTCAAT